AATGTTTTTACTAAAGTCTAGCATGGGAAGGGTAACTGGGATGAAAATAACAACAGAGCATAATCGGCTACATCCTTACACTACAAAGACAAAACTAGAAGAGAGATTATGGCTACTTTCCTTCTTCTTCTTCAGAACACCAAAACAAAGACGGGAAGAGAAGCCATAAAATGCTAATACACCTTGACACTTTAGTCCCAATCAAATTCCTAGATCAGGGAGAAAATTCCCGGGCATTTTACAGCTAAAGAACATTGGTTACATGAAAAACATGTGACTTCCTGTGGGTAACATAAACATTTAACCCCAGATATACTGAGTGTTTTCAACTTGTAATACCCAACACACTCCCATTTTTGCACTTCTGCAGGGAACACCCTTTCTGCTTTCTGTAATATTGGACAAATGTGGACAGTGACGACCTGATCAAAGAACAAATGTAAAGCAGTCGTGAGAGTCTGACCCACAAATCAGGCAGTCAACAAGACTCGCAAAGAAGATGCTTTCTGTATATTGTCAACAAGCACTGCAACACGATGAACGAATTCCTTCAAATCGTAAGAAAACCCTTGTGTAAAAATACATCCTCAACATCATCTCCGGATTATATAACAACATTGATCTCAATAAGTATTCAGGCTCAAATATGCTGCTAAGCTTCTGATAGATCCCAGGTGAGCGTCCTCTCTGAATGTGTTACCTTTCCTGAGTTTTTGTAAAACACTTTATGAGCATGAACAACGTTCCGTGCGCCTTGGTCTCTCTCTGTCATGCCGGCCACATGACCACGGAAACGTCTTCGGACAGCGCTGGCTCTTCGGCTTTGAAACGGAGATGAGCACCGCAACCCTAGAGTCGGATTCGACTGGCTTTCGAGCAAGGGAGACCTTTGCCTTTACCTCATGAGCATGAGAGCTTTTGTACTACTCTGTAGAATATTTCCTGAGGAAGATCCAGTTTTGAAACGTCGTTATATAATCCGGAGACGACATTGAGGATGTATTTTTCCACTGGTATTTTCTTACGATTTGAAGGAATCTGTTCATCGTGTTGCAGTGCTTGTTGACCATAATATACAGAAAGCGTTTTCTTTGCAAGTCTTGTTGACTGATTTGTGGGTCAGTCTCTCACGACTGTTTCCTTAATATTTGTTCTTTTCTCTAATATTCACACAGTCAGGGACACTGGTGTCTTCCAGCCTTGGGGACTCGGGATTTTCTGACGACGGAGATGAATACGTTCCCAGATTGTACACAAATGCACCTCATACCTTTTGTGGGGAACCGCCGGTAGGCAGCCGGGCTTCTCTTGACCACATTCTGCTTTCCCGGAGCGCTGCTCACGATCACTTTCCTACCAACAGGATTCCCGCACATGGACCTCATGGCTTTGGAAGAAGAGCCTCCCCCTAGGGCCGGGGAGGAAGTTGAGTTCTGCTTGCTGGGAAGAACCAGAGAAGCCAGAAAGGTGACTCCCACCGCTGTGGAGATCCTACACCGTCTGTACCTCAAAGATGGACAGGTAAGGGGAAAATTCCTTGTAAAAGAGCCCTGCTGGATCAGACCAGTGAGGGTCCATCTAGTCCAGCATCCTGTCTCACACAGTGGCCAACCAGTTCCTCTGCAGGTCCAACAACAGGGCATAGAGGCTGAGGCCTCTCATGTTGATGTCTGGCACTGGGGTTCAGAGGCTGACTGCCTCTGAACATGGAGGTTCCATGGCTAGTAGCCACTGCTAGACTTCTCTTCCACAAATCCCTTTTTAAAGCAGTCTATAAGAACACTGTTTCAGCTCTCCTCAGCCTGGAGTGCCTTTTGGCTACTTTACACTATAGTATCTTGGTATTTTTCGCTTTCAGTGATAAAACATACACATGAATACAGGAAACGGTCTTCTGCTGAATCAGGCCCTTGGTCCATCAAAATAAGTATTGCCTACTCAGACCGGCAGTGGCTCTCCATGGTCTTGGGCAGCGGTCTTTCACATCACCCACTACCAGATCTTTGAATCTAACTGTGGTGGTACCAGCGATCAAACCCTCTGCATGCCGAGCAGATGCTCCACCACCGAGCCTCAGCCCCTCCCCATGTGAAGTCCCATCTAAACTTCACAAATCTGCTGCTATGGGGGCCACATCTGGCCACCTGGTTTGCACTTCAGTCCGCAGCTGGGGCTTGTGTGATGAAATATCCCCTCACACAGCATCATCCCTGTACCTAGAAACCTAGCATGTCAAGGAGGCCAGATGCTTTCTCACTGATGTGCTAGCTTTCTGTACGCGGGGAATGGCTTTGTATGGGGGCGCTTTCAGTCACATGAGCCTCTCCCTTCATCCTGAAATGGTACCATCACAGGTTTTCCTCCCCTCATTGGCTGTTAGGTAAAGGTTTCCCTTGCTCAAAAGCCAGTCGAATCTGACTCTAGGGATGCGGTGCTCATCTCCGTTTCCCAGCCCAAGAGCCAGCACTGTCCGAAGGCGTTTCCGTGGTCATGTGGCCGGCATGACTAGACACCGAGGCGCACGGAACGCTGTTCCCACCGAAGCGGTACCTATTTATCTACTTGCAATTTCTTGCTTTCGAACTGCTAGGTTGGCAGGAGCTGGGGCCAGAGACAGGAGCTCACTCCGTCATGCAGCACTCGGGTCTCGAACTGCCGAGCTAACGACCTTCCACAGCCTGCAGTTCAGCGTCTTAACCACTTGAGCCACCGCATCCCTTCATTGGCTGTTAATGATGGCTAAATAGAACCTCCATCTTGTGAGGCAGTGTCCCTGGATATTGGATGCTGGGAAGGGACCAAGAGTGGGGAGAAGGCCGTCGTCT